ACTCTCATGTCTCCAGTGCCTACAACACATATTCTATATATGTGTATACACATACATGTACAAGTATGTGTACATGTGTGTATTTGTGTATGTGTATGGTATTCTCAAACAGAGACCATGTCTTACTCAAATTTGTATACCAGTAACTCTCTCTATCCTTTTGCTATAGTCAACAACATCAAATCACTTTTGCTAGATTACTAACTAGATGAATCAACCAAACCAATGAATCAAGCATATTATTTTCTCGATTTGTATTTTTCCAGCATTTTTGTGGTCTTTCTTCTTATTACTTAGTCCCTTCAGTAGTACTTGTTTCATTGCATTTTACTGGAATCATTCTGACAGGATGCTTATTTTCAGAATTTTTTTGACCTAGTTGTTTCTTTATTTCTGCTCGTTACGGCAGTTATCACCTTAGTTTCCTTTCACTTCTGATAACTTTATCTATTGATAGTGTACAAACCTATATTTTGCTTTTATTTTTTTCCCAGTAAATACTAGCTCTGTAAATATTAGTTTCTTTAAAAAAACTGTTTTCAAAGTGTTTTTATAATCTATTATTTAGTACTCCTCTTACTCATCCTTAAATTTTTGTCCTTTAAAAATTATTTGCCTTCTCAAGTACTCTTGCCTTATTAAAGTTGCATTATTATCCTTTCACTTTATGAAAGTGTGACAATGATTATTTTTCTGTTTGAGAGATTAAGCTTTCAGCTTTCCCTTTTTTTTTTTTTTAAACTGGGAAGCCAATTTTGTTCATTCTTTAAATGCCATAACTCAACTTTAGTTTGGCTTTCAAAATACAAATTAAATTTTAAATTAAATATTTGAAAGATAAAGAATTTCTTCTTACCTTTATCTTCTATGTTTGTCCCTAAGTCAGCCAACTTGTAGTGTCATGAAGGTTACTTGGCAGAATTGCCATTTGTAGTGGTTTGTCCTTCAAAACATTGATGAATTGTCACTACCAAATAATCTGTTGAGCACATATTAATTTCATAGCATTCTATTTTATTTTATGAATAAGTTAGAAATAAAAGGCATAATTTCATGCATTTAGATAGTCTCAAATCAACATATAGCACAAAGTCTCTGCCTCTAACACATCTCTACACAACATAACTTTTATAAAGCAATACAACTAAATATTAAATTATGTGGTTGGTCACAGTGACATGCACCTATAGTCTCAGCTACTGGGGAGGCTGAGGTGGGAGAATTGCTGGAGCCCAAAAGTTTGAGACCAGTCTGGGTAATATAGCAAGACCTTGTCTTAAAATTAAAAACATAAATAAATAAAATTATACAAGTTATATGTAAACAAGCACAAAGACATAAAGTTAAAAATGGTCTTAAGATCATATAATTTTATTTTATTTTTTTAATTGTACTTTAAGTTCTGGGTACATATGCAGATCTTGCAGGATTGTTGCTTAGGTACACACATGCCATAGTGATTTGCTGCCCTCATCCCCCTGTCACCTACATCAAGCATTTCTCCCAGTGTTATCCCTCTCCAACCACCCTACCCCCTGCTGTGCATCCCCATCCCCCACACCCCAACAGGCCCCAGTGTGTTATGTTCCCCTCCTTGTGCCCATGTGTTCTCATTGTTCAACACCCACCTGTGAGTGAGACCGTGCAGTGTTTGGTTTCCTGTTCTTGTGTCAGTTAGCTGAGAATGATGGTTTCCAGCTTCATCCATGTCCCTACAAAGGACATGAACGCATCCTTTTTTATGGCTGCATAGTATTCCATGGTGTATATGTGCCACATTTTCTTTGTGCAGTCTATCATTGATGGGCATTGGGGTTGGTTCCAGGTCTTTGATATTATAAACAGTGCTGCAGTGAACATACATGTGTATGTGTCTTTGTAATAGAATGATTTATAATGCTTTGGATATATACCTAGTAATGAGATTTGTGGGTCAAATGGTATTTCTAGTTCTAGATCCTTGAGGAATTGCCACACTGTCTTCCACAATGGTTGAACTAATTTACACTCCCACCAACAGTGTAAACACATTCCTATTTCTCCACATCCTCTCCAGCATCTGTCTCCAGATTTTTTAATGATCGCCATTCTAACTGGCATGAAATGGTATCTCAATGTGGTTTTGATTTGCATTTCTCTAATGACCAGTGATGATGAGCATTTTTTCATGTTTGTTGGCCTCATAAATGTCTTCTTTTGAAAGCTGTCTGTTCATATCCTTCACCCACTTTTGAATAGGTTTGTTTTTTTTCTTGTAAATCTGATTTAGTTCTTTGTAGATTCTGGATATTAGCCCTTTGTCAGATGGGTAGATTGCAAATTTTTTTTCCATTCTGTTGGTTGCCGATTCACTCTAATGATTTTTTCTTTTGCTATGCAGAAACTCTTAAGTTTAATTAGATCCTATTTGTGTATTTTGACTTTTCTTGCCATTCCCTTTTGTGTTTTAATCATGAAGTCCTTGCCTATGCCTATGTCCTGAATGGTATTGCCTCTGTTTTCTTCTGGGTTTTTTATGGTGTTAGGTCTTATGTTTAAATCTTTAATCCTTCTGGAGTTAATTTTAGTGTAAGGTTTCAGGAGGGGGTCCAGCTTCAGCTTTCTGCACATGGCTAGCCAGTTTTCCCAACACCATTTGTTAAACAGGGAATCCTTTCCCCATTGCTTGTTTTTGTCAAGTTTGTAAAAGATCAGATGGTTGTAGATGTGCGCTGTTGCCTCTGAGGCCTCTGTTCTTTTCCCTTGGCCAATATCTCTGTTTTGGTACCAGTACCAAGCTGTTTTGATTACTGTAGCCTTGTAGTATAGTTTGAAGTCAGGTAGCGTGATGCCTCCAGCTTTGTTCTTTTTGCTTAGGATTGTCTTGGCTATGGAAAGATGTTTTCTAGATAATCTCTGAGAAAACAATGTTTTAAGTGATGATTGGCTAGGAGAATATAATGGCATATACACAATGACAGAGAACTCAGCAGGACACTGGCTTCTTTTAAGTCTCATCAACAAGTATGTATCAGGAATGCTTTCCTAATATTTGACACGCTAACTTCTGTCCCATCCAGAAAATAAAACCACAAATAAAAGAAATTTCTTTCTTTTCCTAAAATAGCTTAATAAGATTAGGAAAACATATTTATTGCTCTGGGTTTAGCTATAAGACCCAAGATGTTTGCAATTTGTCTGCTTAAGGAGACCTACACATCAAGAAATATCAAACAATATCTGGTAACATGTAATGTTAAGTTGAGGTATACAGTGATATAGAAAATGTTCAAAAGATGGTAAAGATCATAGGCTTGGATAAGCAGATAACTTCAAAGAGAAGTTATTTGAGCTGGACCTTCAAGAAGAGCCTTTTAAGGGGTAGAGAAAAGACTAATAGGCAAAGTTTTATAAAAGATATGTCTTTTTAGAGTGTGGCTTTCCTTAAAGCTTTTAGTTAATGTGAGGATGCTGCTCGAAAAAAATTAAGTCTGTTTGAAATGAAATTAGGGTTTGATGGCAGTATGATATTTGGCACTAAAGAAATGAAAACATGCATGATGTTTAAAGAACAGAAGGCTCACTGCCTTTCAGATGTGAAATTTTCTCTTATTGATCTGTAGAGTCAATAAAATCCCAATCAAAATTGTAGTATGCTTTTTTTGGGTTTTGTTTTGGGGAGAAATTGATCAGATGGTTTTAAAATGCATATGGAAATGCAAAGGACCTAGGATATCAATTCTGAAAAAGAAGGACAAAGTTAGAGGACTGACCTTATTTGATTTTTCATGACTTGTTATAAAGCTTCAGTAATCAGGACAGTATGACTTTGGTATAGAAATATAGATCAATGTAATAGAAAAAAAAAGGAATAGATGAAAACGTATGGTAGTTAGTTGACTTTCAATGAAAGTATAATGATAATTCCATTGGAAAAAGTATAGTCTTTTCAACAAAGTGCTAGAACAATTAGATATCTGTATGGAGAAATAAAAACTTGGACCACAAAACTTATTTCATATCATATACAAAGTTAATTCAAAATTAATTATAGATCTCAACATAAAGCTAATAGTATAAAACCTCTGAAAGAATACTGTGGTGAAATCATTATAAAATCATTGTTAAACAAAGATTTCTTAAACAGGACACACAAACTGTGAAAGAAAAAACTGAGAAGTTGAACATTATTAAATCCAAACTTTTGTTCTTTGAGAGAAATGGTTTAGAAATGAAAAGTAAAGCCATAGATAAGGAGATAATATTTGCAAATATATACAAGAACTTGTATCCAGAATAGGAAGAATGCTAATAACAACAAGAAGAATAATGGCTGAATTGTTAAAATATGGGCAGAAGATTCAACAGCCACTTCAACGTGGAAAACATATGACCGGTCAATAGTATGTGAAAATATATTAAACATGAGAGCAATGAAGATTAAAACTAATGAAATATCACTGCACACCTAGTGGAATGGCTAAAGATAATGTATGTCTTCTTTTGAGAAATGTCTGTTCACATCTTTTGCCCAATTTTTAATGGAAATAGTCTTTTTAAAACCTTAAGCATTTGATTAAGGTCGGGAGCTTCTATAGTCATCCCTAGGATCCACAGGGGATTCTTTATAAGACCTCAGTGGATACCAAAATCTGCGAATGCTCAAGTCTCTTACAGTATAGTATAGAAATAATATTTGCATATAACCTCTGTACATCCTTTCAAATAGTTTAAATAATCTCTAGATTACTGATTATATGTAATATAATGTAAATGGTATAAAGTTTTTTAAATTTGTACTTTTTATTGTATTACTATTTTTTAATTTTTCCAAATATTTTATATCCACAATTTGTTGAATCCACAAAACCCACTGGTAGAGAGAGCAGGGCTGACCTTAGGTAAAAGATTTTGGATCAAAATAGTATGTTAAAAATCACATATTTTGTCAACTCATTTTTGGAAATGATGTTGCATTATTATGTAAATTAATTATGGGTATTTTTTTCCTCTTTCCAAAGAATACAAGTCAATGACCAGATTGTAGAAGTGGATGGAATCAGCTTGGTGGGTGTAACACAGAATTTTGCAGCAACAGTTCTCAGAAACACCAAGGGCAATGTCAGGTAAATATGTGCCTTCTAATATTTACCATGTTGTTACTTTAGTGAATTTTAGTTTTCTATAGTTTAACCTGCAAATAAATATAACTACAATGACAATTTTATCTGAATGGTAAAACTTTGCATTTAGTTTGAAATTTTTTTATATGTATTATAATTAGTTTATGAAAATAGAATTTAAATCATTTAAATGGAAAATGGAATTTAAAGTACTTGTCTTCATATTTTTTTAAAATACTGTGATTTCCAGGAAGATAGAATTTCTAGCTTTAATTTCAAATCCTTTTAAGAAAAATAGTTATACAATACTTGAAATGATTGTACATATATTCAATGATGTATGTTTTTTAAACAATCACACTGCATAAGGAAAAGTATATTTTTTAAATGTATGTATTATTTTAAGAAATCAGCGAGGACCAATATTTGATGCATTATAACTTTTCCAACTTAATGGATTTAGGGCATTTTTTTTTTTGGACCTTGAAATTTATATTCAGACTTGGGATAGTGAACATCGTATATTGGAAAACAAGAAAGAAAGCAGTTTTGAGCTAGAGGAAGTTAGCATTTGAAATCAGGTATTTTTTGCTTATATGTTACTTATTTAACTATTGCTTATATCATATACTTTTCCATACATCTTGTTTAAGAAACATTAAGGAAACATTATTTAGTGTGTGTAATGATGAAAGTGGCTGAATATTCTGAAAATGAAACTGCTAAATATTCTGAAAATATTAATGAGTTGACATTGCTATATAGACAAAAATATTAGGATATTATTGCTGCATGTTTTATTTTGTGAAAGCATGAATTTAAGTTTTAGACTTTAGACTTTTTCAATTGTAAATCACCTTCTAATGCTAAAGGGATGCTTTAAGGAATACAACCTAAACTACTTCTAAGGGTGCTATGTTGATGTTTCTAGAATATTCACAGCCTTGAGAAAAGTATGTAAAATAATTGCAGAACTGTGTGGTGCTCTCTGAGTTGCGTGGGTGGGCCCATTCAGTAAATGTGATTGTCTTTTTGAAGATCACAGTGTGTTCTTAAGACAGCACTTTCCCCTGTCAATATAGAACTTGGTTTTGAAGCTGCCCATTAGACTTTAAATTTAAAAATGAAATAGGTAAGATGTACATTCAACTCATAAGAACATTTCTCAGTTGGAAAATAATTTGTTGTTACATGAAACCATAGCCATTCCTTTTTTTCCTTCTGACTGTTGACTGCATAATCTTGTGTTATTACATTCAGCCTTGTACAAATTTCAAATGTCTTCTTAGTCTGTTCTGTTCATCACTACCCTCATGGAAGGACATAATTACAGTTTTCAAATATATGAAGGGCTATCATGGAAACAGAAATTGATATTATTCTGTTTAACTCTAGTATAAGTTGAGTATCCCTTATGTGAAATGCCTGGAGCCAGAGTGTTTCCGATTTTGGATTTTTTTTTTAATGTTGGAATATTTGCATTATATACTTAGTAGCTGAGAATCCCTAATGTGAGAATTCAAAATCTTAAATGCTCCAGTGAGTAAATATGTCAGTGCTCAAAAAGTTTTGAGTGTTCTGAACATTTTGGATTTCATATATTTTCATTTGTTATGCTCAACCTGTGTAAACTTCCATGTGCAGGTTTTTTTTTTTTGAGACAGAGTCTTGCTCTGTCGCTCAGTCTGGAGTGCAGTGGCACAATCTTGGCTCACTGCAATCTTTGCCTCCTGGGTTCAAGCAAGTCTCCTGACTCAGCCTCCCAAGTAGCTGGGATTACAGGCATGCACTGCCTGCCACACCCAGTTATTTTTTTTATTTTTAGTAGGGACGGGTTTTGCCATGTTGACCAAGCTGGTCTTGAACTCCTGACCTCAAGGGATCCGCTTACCTCGGCCTCCCAAAGTGCTAAGATTACAGGTGTGAGCCACTGCACCCAGCTTCATGTGCAGGTTTTTGTGTGGACATAAGTTTCTAATCCACTGGGTAAATACCAAGCATGGTGCACAATTGCTATATCATGTGGTAAGTATGTGTTTAGTTTTGTAAGAAACCGCAACCCGTCTTCAAAGTGGCTGTACCATTTTGTATTCCCATCAGCAGTGAGTGAGAGTTCTCATCGCTCCACATCCCTGCCAGCATTTGTTGTCAGTGTTTTGAATTTTGACTCTTCAAATAGATGTATAGTGGAATCTGATTGCTTTGATTTCCATATACCCCTATTGCCTATTAATATTTACAGTTAGTAATGAAAAGTTTCATGTTGTTATGTTTGTGGTCCTTTATAGTATTTTCCTTTTTACTCTCTCTTTTGGATTTTTTTCTCTCATAATTGAGTTTTTGTAGTTTTTATCAGGTTGTAACTAGATCTGTGTTTGCTTATTTGGTTTTTGTAATTCTGCTTGGGATTCAGTTTGAAGACTTGGGTTTGGGAAATTTTCTATTATGCTTTGGTTATTTGCTTAATTTCTTCTGGATTGTCTTTGGCCTCTCTTCTCAAACCAGAATTAAATGGGGCTTAGCTTTTCTGGGCATATCCTCTAGAATATTTTTTTTTCTCTCAGGAGCTCCATCTGTTTGAATTTTTGCTAGTATGTACTAAGTTTCTTCAATTTTCTCTTCCAGATTATCTTTTTTTTTTCAGGCATGGCTTATTTTAACTGTTCATGCTTTATTCTCCATTTTCTGTTTTTATCTCTAGCTCCATTCTCTCTGCCCAGAGCTTAAGAATAGTATATCCAGCTTCCTACTTGACATCTTCATGTGGCATTCTAAAAGGCACATCAAATTTAATGTACTCCAAGTATTATCCTTTATTTGTGCCATTCCTTGTCTTCCGCCTCATATTCCTGCCTCATCCCTTCCCCGCAAAAAACCTCTGTATCACATGACTTATAATTGGCTGGTTCCACCTTATCAAGTCTCAGTTCAAATATCACTTCTTCAATGAATGAGCTTTTCTCATATTTATGTCATCGAAACTCCAGTTTACTCTATCTCAAGTACTGTGTTTTCTACATAGCATTCATTTACTGTTCCTCTTCTGATCTTTTCCTCCTGGTTATTGATTCTTTTTTGGGTTTCCTACACTATTAATTCCTGTCTAGTACTAGTATGATGATATGAATATGAAAGTAATGATCTGTAACTTTTGAGCTAGGTTATGAAAGTCACTGTGGTTTTCACCCTGCTATTTTGGATCACCAATTCTAGGGAAATATAGCTGCCATATCAAGAATGCCTTCAAATTCCCTTTTGAAGATGCCCACACAGGGAGGACGTTTGGCCTGCCAGCAACCAGCACTAACTTAACCAGTCATATGGGGAGGCACCTTTGAAGATATTCCAGCATTCAGATGCCTGATTGAATTTTGTTAGAATCACCAAGCCACAATTGAACAGACAAGCCTCTCTTGAATTCTTGACTCCCAGAAACTATGAAAGATAATACATGTTTATAAGTTTTGGGGTAATTTGTATCAGTAGCCACAACTTATACATATTTTGGTACCTGAATGTGGGCTACAGTTTAACAAAAAACTGAAAATGTGGGTGTAGCTTTGGGACTGAAATGTTAGTGAGGCTGCAAGGACTGTGAAGAGAGTATTAGTAAAAGCCAAAAAAGACCTTATAATGATTTTTGGGAGAAAACTGATGGCCTCTTAGAAGGCAGCTGGTGAGGGCTTAAAGAAGAAAACTGTAAATGTTGTTGAAAATTGGGCTGGGCACAGTGGTTCATGCCTGGAATCCCAGCACTTTGGGACGAGGAGGCAGGTGGATCACCTGGGGTCAGGAGTTCAAGACCAGCCTGACCAACATGGTGAGACCCCATCTACTAAAAACAAAATTAGCCCGGTATGGTGGCACATGCTTGTAATCCCAGCTACTTGGGAGGCTGAGGCAGGAAAATCACTTGAACTTGGGAGGCAGAGGTTACAGTGAGCCAAGATTATACCACTGCACTCCAGCCTGGGCAACAAGAGTGAAACTCCATCTCAAAAAAAAAAAAAAAGGAAGAAAGAGGATCTTCATTAAGTAATAACAGAAAGTTTAACAAAACTTACCTCTAGTAATGTGAGAAGTAAAATACTGACTGGGACATTTAACTCATAAGATTTCAAGCCATAGTGTTGAAAGTGTCACTAGCTCCTTCTTGCTGTATATAAATAAAATTTATGAGAGGATAGATAAGCTAAAGGAAGAACTGTTAAAAATAAATCAAGTTAAACAAACTAGAAAATTTAGAGAAAATGGATAAATTTCTGGGTACATATATACGGCCTACCAAGGTTGAATCAGGAAGAAATAGAAAACTGTAACAGACCAATCATAAGTGAAGAGATTGAATCAGTAATAAAAAGTTTCTCAACAAAGAAAAGTCCAGGACCAGATGACTTAAATGCCAAATTCTAGCAAGCAAGAACTAACACCAGTTCTCCTCAGACTATTCCAAAAAATTGAAGCAGAGCGACTTCTGTGCAGCTCTAAAAAAGGATGAGTTCATGACATTTGCAGGGACATATATGAAGCTGGAAACCATTATTCTCAGCAAACTAACACAAGAACAGAAAACCAAACACTGCATGTTCTCACTCATAAGTGGGAATTGAACAATGAGAACACATGGACACAGGGAGGAGAACATCACACACTGGGGCCTGTTGAGGTGTGGAGGGCTAGGAGAGGATAACATTAGGGGAAATACCTAATGTAGATGACAGGTTGATGGGTGCTGCAAACCACCATGGTACATGTATAGCTGTGTAACAAATCTGCACATGTACCCCAGAACCTAAAGTATAATATAAATAAATAAATACTAATTAATTAGAGAGAGAGAGAGTGTATGTGTGTGTGTGTGTATCACAAGGCTGTAGTAACCAGAACAGATATTGATATCAAAACAGAAACATAGACCAATAAAACCGAATAGAGGACCCAGAAACAAATTCACACATTTATGGCCAGCTGATTTTTGACAAAGACACCAAGAGCATACATTG